GAGGGCGTTTATCGCTAGAGCCGCCGGACCGTTAGCGGCGCAGGCTCCTCAGGGATGTGTTCCGCACCGCTCAGACCGCGGCTGAACAGCAGCGGCTCTGGCAGGGAGCAGCCAGCAATGGCGGCCATGCTCCACCCTGCGGGGGTTGCCCCTTGCGACAGGCTCTGGGCCGCTGGGCGTGCGGAATCCCCCAGCGCCCCAGGGCAGGCAAGAACCCCGCCAGCAGTGCACTCAGTGGGGAGGGGCTCCCACTGTTCCACGGCAGGCGGGTTCCGTGCTCCGCTGGGCTCCTGCACAGACGCAGTGCTGCTGCAGAGAGAAGCGGGCTTGGCGCCGGCGGCGGCGGGAAGTGCGCGGCTCTGCCTCCCGGTCCAGGAATGGCGTGGGAGCTGGGAAACTGGGGTGGGCAACCCCTAGATGTGGCACTGGTGGAGAGATCCCAGGCATAGAGTGGGTGGATTGTGTCCCGTGAGGGTCATTCAGTCAGCACCTGGTAGCTTGGAAGTCAGTTACCCAGGGCTTGGATGAATGAAGGGAGTGACGCGGGCTCAGGGGCAGATCGCTGCCACGTGGGGAGAGGGGACCCGCAGGGAGGAGAAGCTACTCTTCCAGTGGGGTCCCACAAGTGGGCAATTGCTGTCTTCGGGGGTCACACCACTTCTGTGCGTGTCTCCGCAGAGCAGGCAAGCAACTCTGGGCGCAGGTTCCTGGGCTGGGGATGGAGAGGGGCTACAGCAAGTCTGGGTTGTGGTTGCCGGGCCTTAGGGACCCACGATGCCCTACACCGAGGCCCCTGCTCAGGGCAAATGTGTGGGGTGGGGGCTGGCTGTTGGCCCCAGGGGACTGTCTCTCTCACTTACCACTCGGCTACCTGGACACCGAACCCGCCTTGTTGGAGAGAGCTCTTAGAGTAAGTGGGTACCCTGGTCCGCCATCTTCCTGGAAGTCCCTTATAACATAATTTTATCCTTGCTTTTTACATATTGCTTTTAACAAACATGAAAGGTAGCACAGAAATTATTAAGCATGAATTGCTTATACATGTCCATGCATTTCCCTTTATTTTTTATATTTTTCCTATGGGTAACTTTTAATGACTTTCTAGTGTCTTTTTTCTTCCATATACAGAAAGCCCATTAGTATTTTTTGCAGAGCTGCTCTGGTGGACATGAACCCTGTTAACATGTTTATTTGGAAACATTTTAATTTCACCCTAATTTTTACAGTATAATTAGTGCTTTCTCCATTCTTTTGTGTCATCTTTACTTGCAATTTGCAAAATATGTATCTCTTCCTGTCAGTTGGCCTAGTAGCTCTCTTCCAAATTTCCTGGCATAGACAGTTGAGCACTTCCAGTGCTTCATCAGTTTATTGAAGTATTTTTATTGTTATTCCATTCATTTCTGGAGCCTTGGTTTGGGCTACTGCTTTCAGTGAAGCTTGGGCTTTTTCTTTTAGTACCATTGGTTCTTTCTCATATGCTGTCTCTTGAAATGATTGAATGTCAACTAGTTCTCTTTGGTAAAGTGACTCTATTTTTCCCATATTCTTTTGATTCTTTCTGCATTATTCAATATTTTGCCCATAGAATATTCAAAATTGAAATTCAATGTTTGAGTCCTTTTTTGTTGTTGTTCTTTCATTTTAAGGTATGCTGAGCATGTTCTCCCCTTTTCGTTTTCTAACTAGAGATCTTTTCACATTTCATTTTGATATTTTACTGTGCCTCCTCGAACTGCCCTTTGAAATTTCTGTTCAGCAGTTCTTTTACTTCATCATTTCTTCTATGTGCCTTAACTACTATATGAAGAAGTAATAGGCTGTCCACTTCTGAGGAATTAGTCACAGAAAACCTTATGTACAGAACTGAAATATTGTCAAATACTGAAAGCCTCATGAAAAGAAGCAATGAGAATAGGTGTGCATATTTCAATTTGTGTCATGGCTCTTCTTTCTGTAGTATATATGTGATGTAATGGGATTTCGGGATCATGTATCTATTTACAACCTTTTAAAAATAATTTTATTGGGGCTCATTAAACTATTATCACAATCCATACATACATCAATTGTATAAAGCACATTTGTACATTCTATTTCCAACTTTTAATGGAAGCACCACAACATTTTCCATAGTGGTGGAACTTTTCCACTCCTTCTAGCAGTGTATGAAGAGTCCAGCCTCTCTACACCCTAATCAGCATTTGTCTTCTTTTTATTTTAATTTTTGTAATAATATTTCCATGGGATGATAATCTCCTTGTTTTGCTCTGCATTTCTCTAATAGCTGATGTGAACCACTAGAAGAACTCACTCACACACTCACTTATGCCAATAAATTTGGAAGACAGCTAACTGGCCAACCAACTTGAAGCAATACATATTTTTACCCATTCCAAAGAAAGATGACACAATAGAATGTACTAATTATAGAAAAATATCATATTACATGCAAGAAAATTTTGCTGAATATCATCCAACAATTATTGCAGCAGTACATTGACAAGGAGCTGCCAGAGGTCAGGCCTAATTCAGAACAGGATGTGGCTCTGAAGCCGGAGAAGCCACAGAGAGATGCCTGCCAGTGCTGAGATGCTTACAATGCCAAAGACTTTCTGGACCCAAAGACTTTCTACCCACTTCCCTGTGATCTTCCACATTCGGCATCATTGTATGTGTTTTGTGAATCTGAAGAGGACTTTATAGCTTGGTATCAGACATATGGGCTAATATTGGACTTATGGACGTGATCTGGACTGGGCTGGGATGTTTTCTCAATGTTCAATTGCTCTTGTATAAATCTACTTCTTATACCCAAAAAAAGGGCGGGGAAGAAGAAGAAGAGGATGTGGAAAAAGGGATACATCAGGTGGATCTTGGCTGAAAGCAGAGAATACCAGAAAGATGTTTGCTTGTGTTTTATAGACTATGCCAAAGCATATGACTGTGTGGGTTATAACAAACTATTGATAACTTGAGAAGAATGTCAATTCCAGAATACTTCCTTATACTCAGGCAGAACTGTACACGGATCAAGAGGCAGTTATGTGAACAGACCAAGGGAATGTTGCTTGGTTTAAAATCAGGAAAAGTGTGTATTAGAGTTGTACCTGCTCACCATACTTTTTGATCTGTATGCTGAGCAAATAGAGAAACTGGATTATATGGAGGAAAATGTGGTATTTGGATTGGAGGAAGGCTTATTAACAGCCTGCAATATACAGACGACACAACCTTGCTGGATAAAAGCAAAAAAGAACTTGAAGCACTTGCTGATTGCAAATGAGAGCAAAGTGAGAGATCGCTTGCTGAGAGCAAAGATTGCAGTATGGATTATAACTCAATGTAAAGAAAACCAAAATCCTGACAACTGGGACAATAGGTAACATCATGAAAAATGGAGAACAGATCAAAGTTGTCAAGGATTTTGTCTTATTTGGATCCACAATCAATGCTCATGAAAGCAGCAGTCAAGAGATCTAACGATTCATTGCAGAATGGAATCACCTGGATCTTGAGTCATTGTACATGTACAACAAAGGTTTGACAATAGCCAAGAACAAATTAATAGGAAATGAGGCCAGAAATGTCTTTCATGTAGTGAGCCAAGATAACCTTCAAGTAGGAAAACAAAGCAAAGCCACTTAGCACAAATCTTAGGAAAATAAACATTGGGAATGATGAAAATATCAAGAGAGTAAATAAAGCTTTTGTCAATATACAAAAGGAACTTGCACATTTCTTAAAAGGCCTTTCCCTTGAACCTCTGCAGAAACAGCCGTTTCCTCAGCAGCATCAGGAAAATGGACCACCTTTCTGCTTAGACCTGGCTCGTGAAGTCATGACTGAGGGAAATGTGAGTGTGAGTGCAGACCCCACCACAGTGCACCAAACCTTGAGGGCACATAACCACATGGAGAAAGTCATTGACAAAGAGGGCTGCAGGGGGAGCCCAATCTGCCAAACTGACCCCCTCCCTAGAAGTAAGTGCTACAGAGGACATCACTAAACCTACAGGTTGGGGAGAGGGGCTGGCCTCCATGCTCACATGGAAGCAAACCAAGAAGGAAAAAAAGTGAGGCACTAGACCCTATAGTGGCACACCAACTTCCCTGCATGAAGCTAAGGCACAGATCTGGGAAGCAAAGTTATGGAGAAAGGTATAAACATAGGTGTGTTACATATGTAAATATATTAATTCATTAAAATAGAGGTATTGGCCTATGTACATATATTTATATGGCTATACACTGAGGAAGTCAATAGACTTCTGGCCTCTGCTCAAGCCCTCCCTCAACACAAAAACACTTTGTTCTAACAATCTGTTATTATGTGATGCTCATCCTCCATACACGATCGCTAAAGACAAAATGGGTGCATAAGCAAATGTAGTGGAGAAAGCTGAAGGTGCCTGGCTATCAAAAGATAGTGTCTGGGGTCTTAAAGGTTTGAAGTAAACAAGCTCACATATAAAAGTACACCAGCTTGTGCGATCATGAGGTGTTGAAGGGATCAGGTAACAGGCAGCAGAAGACCCAAAATAAACAAACAAAAGATACTGCTGAGAACAAGGAGGGTAGGAGCAGAGACCCAAAACAATTTGTAGTCAATGGGGCAGTCCCTCACAGAAGATTCACGAGGAAGGGATGAGTCAACCAGAGTGCACTATAGTACCGGTGAAACACTACACATTCCTCTGGTTCTTTGAGAGTTCCTCAACCCCACTACCATGACCTCAGTTCTGCCTTTCAGTTCTGGATAGGCCAGATGGAGCATGTACACTGGTGCAAATAAGAGCTCACGACACACAGAATCCATGTCAGATAAACCCCTCAGGTACAGAAATGAGAGTAGCGATAGCAGGAGGGAAGGGGGAAGGTAGGGGATGGAGGGAAGGAAGTGGGAACCGATTGCAATGATAGAAACATCACACACACACAGCACCCCCAGCTGAGGAAACCTGGTTGAAGGGAGAAAGTAGTCAGTATAAGAAATGGAAATAATAATAATTTATAATTTATCAAGAGATCACAAGGGTGGGGTGGGGGAAAGAAAAAGAGGAGCTGATATCAAGGGCTCAAATAGAAAGTAAATGTTTATAAAATAATGATGGCAACATATGTAAAAATATACTTGATACAATTGATGTATGGATTGTTATAAGAGCTGTAAAAGCCCCCAATAAAATGATCTTTTAAAAAAAGAAAGAAAAAACTGGACCAGTTAATGTTGATGAGGCTACAAGATTAATGGCTTAGTTATAATTCAGTGGTGATACATTTAGTTCTCAAGGGGGGGGGAAGACCAATAAATGTAATGTTTTATACAACTTTATTTTTTAAATCTTGCTAATATACAGGCATTGGCACATGTTAAAACAAACTATGTAAACAGAGCTTTCCTATATTCTAGGAAAGTAAAATGTCAGAAGTCAACAAATTGTGAAAAACTTAAATGGTGAATACAGAGGTACGTCACAAAATCTGTTCACTGGAACAGTTAACATCTCCAAGAGTTTAGATCTTTCCATTTATAAGTGGCAGTTAATGTCAGAGCAGGTTGGCAGGACACCAAAAAAATGAAGTTTTGTGGCAGTAAAATTATAAGACACACAAGTAATGAGTCCTTCCTTGGCCAACATTTTTGTTTTTCATTACCTTAAGTCTCCTTTTAACTCCTCTCTTTCATAAGATGAAAAAAAAGAAGGATTCAAATATGGAAGAAAAGAAGAAAAAAAATTTAAAGTTGAAATCCCAGAAATGATTCAGGGGGTTGGGGGTTGAATTTATTCAATCACTTTTTTCCCCTGAAGCTATCAGCCCTTGGTTCTTATGGGATAAGTTTTGTGAAGGAATAAAGCATTAAGAAAGAACACTTCAAAATCAGTGAGTTATTCAGGTGTTACATTATTGAGAAGCCTAAGGTGTTACACAGTTAGAGGTAGATAACAGTCCCAAGTTTCCATGGAATCCAATAATTTAGTATCTGCACATCAAACAGATCACCGATTCCTTCGTTATCATCTAAATTAAAGTTGTGGTCATCAGCTGGGGAAGGGGGAAAGCCAGAGGAGAGTGAACACTTCAAGTAAAGAAAAAAATAATGTTAAATATGATATTCACATATGGGTAACATAAAATATTGCAATGACTATCAATCTGAATTAAATTATGTTTCCTGCATTATACATACATTTCTAAAATTAGGTAATAGAGGAAGTAATGATCTAATTAATGATCATTACTTAATCTGTTTATTAGCTTAAGAGATAGGAGTTAGTTGTGTGAACTTGCTACTAAAATATATAATTCAAATATACCAGCAAAAGTATTTTTCTTTGATCTGCTAAAAAAAAAGCTATTATTTTTTAAAGTATAAAGTAGACACAAATTAATAAATTTGCTGCTCTGCTCTTCATCTACAAAATGTTTTTAAAATTCCCAGGTGCTGATGTAAACTTTTTTAAAAGATTAATTGCATTAGGTAAATCTGCTGCCCAAGGGTGCAGTGTAGCATCGATGAAACACACAGCCTTCCTCTAGTTCTTAAATGCTTCCCCCGCCCCACCTGCCTCCCCAATCATGATCCCAATTCTACCTTGCAAACCTGGTTAGACCAGAGGATGCACAGCGGGAAATGGAAGCACAGGGAATTCAGGACAGATGAACCCCTCAGGACTAGTGATGAGAGTGGCGATACCGGGAGGGAAGCTGGGGTATAAAGGGGGAACCGATCACAAGGATCTACATATGGCCTCCTCCCTGGGGGATGGACAACAGAAAAGTGGGTGAAGGGAGACGCCGATCAGTGTAAGATAAGATTAAAATAATAATTTATAAATCATCAAGGTTTCATGAGAGAGGGGGAGCGGGAAGGGAGGGGGAGGGGAAAAAGGAAAATGAGCTGATTCCAGGAACCCAAGTGGAAAGCGAGTTTTGAGAATGATGAGGATAATGAATGTATAAGTGTGCTTTACACAATTGATGCATGTGTGGATTGTTATAGGAGTTGTATGAGCCCCAATAAAATGGTTAAAAAAGAAAAGCATTTACACTTAAAAAGGGGTGGGAGGGATGAAGTGCGATTTCCTCTTTCTTAAAAATGTTTCTAGACTCTAGAGCTACTAAAAAACTTGCATTTACAAAATAGTTGGTAAAAATATTCCTCTGGATTGTACAAGAAAGGATATAACAGGGCCCATTTATAAGATATGGTAGACAAACATTAGTCACACTTGGCTTCTTTTTCTCCTGATTAATCAGAGGCTAGAGTCTCCTCGTTTTTTCAGTTCTCCACTTTCAGAAGGTAAATCTTTAGTGTCTTTTCTTTCTTTCTTTTTTTAAATCTTTGGTTTCTTGGTTAGCTTGTTCAGCCTGTTTTCCCTTTGCTCCCCCTTTCCCTTTTCTTGCACTTTTTTTGTCTGAAGATTTATGCTTTCCTGCTGCCTTTTTTGGCGTCATCTTCGTTTTTCCAGATACAGGTTTCAGTGACAACCTTGCTGATCTCCTCTTGGGCTTTTCTTTCACTGTACCTTTGGCCGTGACTGTTCTTTTTTCTCTAGCTACCCTCAGGATTCTTTCATTTTCTTTGAAATTACAGAGTTTGACTGTGATATATCCCAATGTTTTGTTTTGTTTGGGGAGGGAGTTGTTTTTCCTAATTGGGTCTCTCTAGAGTTCTTGAATAGTTATTTTATTCCCCTTTGTGATTTTGGAGTAATTTTTGTCTGTGATTTATAATATTATTTTCTCTGGATATATATTTTTTGTTTCTTCTTGTTCTTGGACCCTCTTGAGATAGAGGTTGTTTCTCTTGCTAGTATCCCTTATCATTCTCAATTTTTTTTTCTAATTCATTTGCTCCTTTTTGTTGATTGCTTCTCTCACTGATTGTAGTCAGAGTGATTGTATTCAAGCTCTGATTTGATTTTCCTGTTCTTCCTTTCTATTCCTCAGATCCTTTATATATTGCCTAATTTTGTTATCTCAGTGTCTTCTGAGATTCCTTTGGCTTAAGGATTTTAGTTTTTCAGTTTCTTTCATGATTCTCAAGGGTACTACCCTTATCTCTTGAAAGAACCTGAACATCAGTATTCTGAATTCTGAAATAGAATGATAGTACAAAAATTGAGGAAAATAATATAAAGTAGGAAATAAAACCACCTTGCGAGTGAGGATTCCTGCTATTTAATAGTGTTAGTTAGGGTATATGTGTGTCTCATGGTGTCAGTGGGGCAAGTCAAAGCAGGAGGAGGGCACTGGAGGAAAAAAAAGGCAGGAGAGAAGAAGGTAAGGTGGATGGAGGGGGGCAAAAATGTAAGCTTGGGTACTGATTATGTATCCAACAAGCTGCCAGCATGGAAATATCCCAGAGGCCAGTCAGGCAAGAGTTTTTGCTGGTTGTGTTGTTTCAGAGTCTCAGAAAATCAACCATGTCAGGAGGAGCAGAGTTCACAGAAGTGGCTAGTGCTGCTGGTCACTGGTAATGGGGAGTCCGTCAGCAGGCATTGCTTCTCCAACTTTATGAAATTTGAGTCTACTTCACTTTATGTTGAAATTCTCACTGCTAGGAGGTAGAGGATATCCCTCCAAATGGGCTTTCTCTGATAGTTGCTGAAAAGCTCTTCCCATGCTTGTTGTCTGGCGGCCATCTTCCTCCCATCCAAAACTACAATGAGATAGTATCAGTCTCACTAGAATGGTTATGATTGAACAACAACAAAAAGAAAACAAACAGGAAATAGCAAGTGTTGGCAGGGACATGGAGAACTTGTACTTTCATCCAGTCAACTTTTGTGAAAAAATGGGTGGGTCTTCAAAGAGTGAAATACAGATCTACTATATGATCCAACAATCCCAATCCTAGCTATGTATACTAAAAACCAAAACCACGCTCACTGCTACTAAGTCAATTGACTCATAGAATCTCTATAGAACAGAGGAGAACCGCCCTTGTGGGTTTCTGAGATTGTAACTCTTTCCATGAATAGAAAGTCCCAACTTTCTCCAGAGAAGCAGATGGTGGTTTCAAACTGGGACCTTATGGATCTCAGTCCAACTTGTAACCAAAAAAAGTTTTGCTATTAGGCTTCCAGTTCATACATGCATGAGTTTATTCCAAATAAAGCATGTTTAAATATATTTCTGCAATTGGTGGGTGACTGCAGACAAATAATCTCAGTAAACACTTATCTTAGCCTCATTAGTGTGCCTTCAGGATCAAGATCCAATCAAAACGGTGACTTCTGAGGGGATCTGCTGGACCAATTAAATGAAAGGTACAGAGGTCAAATTAAAAGGTTATGGCAACTGTTTTAGGGGCATTTCAAAGGAGTAATCTTAATTTATTTTTCTCAAAGGATATAGGACAATCATGGGAGCTTATTAGGAAGAAATATTAAGAATATTTAAAACACCATCGGTAAGAGACAGGCCAGGAAAGTTGCACTACGGAATTTTTTGACATCATGACAATCCATCCACTCATTCTCTAAGGGTATCAAAGGCTGTCCTGGGAGAATTTGCTTGGGAAACTTTAGTGATGCGACAGCCTTGCTCTTGCCCCCTCACTTTTCTTTTATTTTTTCCCCCTGAAACGTCAGAGAATATTTCAAAGGAAGACAATTTTAATCTCTAGAGGATGCCAAATCTGCCACTTTGGCATGGTGTAAATCAAAGATTGAAATTCTTAGGAGAAAGATTAGAGAGATGTAAACACCACCTTCAGAAGTATATAGACCTTGAAATGCCCTAATGTGATAAGAAACAAATGACTACTCTCTCAAGGTTATGGATTTAGAAGTTATTAGACTTTGGTTCAATCTCTTTCTTTGAAGATGCCCACTAAATGGCAACTCAAAATTGTCATATATGTGCTATTTCATACTCTCTTTTTTAATGACATATCCTAGTCCAGCAGGAATACTTCTGACTTTGTGAGTGAGCATTACTGAAAGTTTGCCCTATCTCCAACCCTCATTGTTTGTATAAGTAGTGTACAATCACTTATGTTTTTAATCTGTACAAGTCAGCGATTCTTGTATTTTAGCCTAAAAAGCTGTCCTACACATGCAAAATTTCCTTTTCTCAACAGCATTTTAAATTCTAAATCATTGGCTGAATTAATGATACTATCAATAGAATTACTATCTGCTACATGGGAATGATTTATAATGTTCCCCAATAAAATGATAAGGATATCTCTAAAGTGAGCCAGGGACTTTGATTAGATAGATATATGAATTCTGAGTTCACCCTTAATATTTACTGTGACCTTACTGGATTCTTGCCCTCATGAAGAGATCACTGAGGACATGGGAGTTAAAGCAAAGTGTAGTGAAGAAATCAAATGGTACTTGGATATCAGAATACCAGAATAGCATCTGGAGTCTTAAAGGCTTGTCTTAAAAGAAGCAGCAAGTCAGCTAAGTCCACACAGAAGAAGCACACCAGCTTGTGTGACTCAATGTTTGTAAATAATACAATCCAAGACTGGAGGAGGGAATGGTATTAGAGTTTATATTCTGAGCACCTGGTTTGCACAAGGCTATGGATGACAGTGAAAATTAAAAATCCATTTGCAGGGTTCCATGTGGATTAAGTCTCCAGTGAATCTCTTCTGGCCATTGAGCAGAGATGTGAATAACCTTGCTATCAGACAGAGTGTGTTGGAAAGTTAATTAATGCAGATATATTTAGGCTAAAATTTAACACCTCTTGATCTATTTTAAAGTTGTTTCTGTTTTTAATATGTCCTACTTACTTTTCAATTAAGGCTTTTCTCTGCTTTATTTTGTTATTTTTGTTGGGGGTTTTGTTGGGTATGTTTTTCTGTATATGGAATTCATGATATAAATCTATAGAGACAGCAACTGAATCAATAGTTTCTAAGGGTTATGTAAAAGGAGGTTGGGGAAATGGGAAACTAATAATAATGAGTACAAAAAAGAAGAAAATGTAAAATTGATTGTGGTGATGATTGCACAAATTTTAAATCCAATTAACCATTGGATTGTATGATATGTGAATTATATATCAATAAAACTTTTAAAAAGAAATATTTAGGCCTAGATGAAAGCTATGTTAAGAAACAAAATCTTAAAAAAGAAATAAAAGCTTACCACTTTGATATTTTTATTTAATAAAGATTTCTATCATTTTGTAGCAATATAACTCACTCTCAACTGAAAGTGGTTGTGGGTTTCACTGCCCTTTCCCTGAACTTTTAAATAACTGCTCTTCAACTTGTCTCCTGCCCCATTTTCTTTGATGCTTCTGACTGAATGTTCCCAAGGTTCTGGATTGCTTCAAGTCAGATTCCAGTTCTGCTGGACTGTTTGTGAGTCTGCCTTTGTATGCCCCCTTTCCTTGTCTCTCAATTTCATCTACTAGCGTTTGAAGTTAAGGCTTAGAGGTTTGTGTTTCTATTGTTTTCCTTATAGTATGGGGATGATTTCACTAACCGACAGAAGCAGAAAGACCTTGATATCAACGTTCTCTTCATTTTTACTATGTATACCATTTAAAAGTATATATAAAAGCTGTCTATGTTATGGTTTTTAAATCATCAGTGAATGCCTATGCTAAAGATAAAAAAACCCAACTGTTGGTTCCATTCTCCCATTTTACTAGCATTCTAAAATTTTTTTGTATATATATATATATAAGTGTATGAGTATGTGTTTTTCCTTTAAAAATTAAACATTGGGTCATGTTGGAGACACGAATTTTTGTCTGTGTTTTCCTATTTTCAAGCAACATTATTTGAAAAGAAACAAACTTCTCTTGCACTTCATTCTTTGAGGTATGACTGGCTAGCTCAACAAATATTTGCTGAATTTGTTAACTCCGTTTTGTCTTTTGTGAAAGTCATAGGTGCAAGGGTTAATATTGGTTCTGCTGTTGCAAATGACAATTTCCTTTCTACAAGAGTTAGCTGTATCTGTTTGGACACTGCTTAAAATGTACTTTCTCTTGTAGAAAACTTGTTCATTTGTTTCAGTGGAGCTTTTGTAATAGAACTAAGAGTCTAGACACTGGCCACTGCAGCCAATCACAGAAGCAGGGTGAGAGTGAGAGTCAACATGTAGTTATTAACAGATCTGAAAGGTCAGCAAGATAAACTCTCCAAGACTGCCTTGTCTTTTTTCACACAGTGATGTGATACTAATGTATAACACACCAGAAATACCTAAAAGCATCATGTTTCTGAAGGGCTCTCTGACAGTAGTAGGTTGTAAGTATTTCAGGATAAAACATCTCTTCTTGTATTGGTCATAATAGTTCATACATAAGAATGTTTCTCAGTGCTCAAGATGTTTTGGAGTGGGTGATCAGCAAACTGAATGCAGAGTTGAAAGACCTCTCAATGCCAACCTGTGAAAAAGTTTGAGACATGACTACTGTGACCACTGAGCATTTTTGTTCAGATAACTGAGAGTCCACAGTCTCAATGTCAAGGGGAGCACTGCTGACGGAACCCCTTTATCCCCATCTCACTATGAACTGTTTCCACGTAGTCCACATTTAATACCAGAAGGACATGGCTATCAGTCATGCCTAATGGGCAGCTGAGGGCTGACTTAGGAAAGGGGTAGGAAAAAAGAATGGCTTTACAGGGTCTTGGTTTTTTGTTGTGAAGAAAGATTATTTCTGAAGTTAATTTAAATCTCATTTCAATATCTCTTCCACAGCTCTTTTACACTCCATAAATCCAGCATTCAAGTCTGTTTCTTATGGACCTGTATCATGGACAGAACTATGCTTCTTAGCTCTCTGAAAGAGAGAGTGTTCTTTCCCAAAGGCAGGAACAATAGTCTTAAATGTCAGAAAGCCAGAGAATAAGTTCAGTAAAACTACAAATTCCAGGTTTTTAGACCCAGAAATCACTTCAAATTGACAGAAAATATTTGTACATGTTACCTTTGCTGCAAATATAGATATTAAAGTGATCGATCCTATGGGAGCAATGTTATGAAAACTTCTAAGATATGCAAAAGCACCTTGAGGAAATGAGTTGCTGGGCCTGGGGACATTGAAGGAATATCAAGATTAACTGGCATGACATAATTTACAATGACAGTGTTCTACATCTGTGTTAGACAGAGTTCTCTAGAGAAGCAAAACCAGAATGCTAATAATTTTATATATTTTATACAAATAGATATGTAACATAAGAAATAAACAGCTAATTAAATTATAAAGCAGCACAAATGGCTCAGTGCAACTCACTCCTGTGAGACAGTTGTGAGACACTGGCAGTCCTTCAAGTCTTGAGGGCCGCTGGTTAGTCCTCTGTAGAGCAATTCAGGCTATCCGGGCACAGGCAGCAAACAGCAAGACAGGTCACAAACAATCAGCCAAATGACAGGATCCGACAGTCCCCAGCTCAAGAGATGTAAATTCCAACTATGTGGCAAAGCAGGTCTTGAAGGAACCTCAAATTATAGTGACACAGTCCACAGGTTAGATGTCCCACAGGTAATGTACCTTGCAAATTGAGGCAAAGAACAAGCAAGGCAGCTGCACACTGGTCCAATGATCAAAGAGCAAGAGACAAGAAAGGCGAGGATCGCTGAGCCATTTATCTCTCTGCCCTTCAATTAATCCCACATGTGTTTTTCGGCCAGGTTGGCACAATAAACTACCTCAACATCCTACTGTGTTGAGTAGCGACTGGAGATTTTAAGGCTCATGAATGGCTGTCAAGATACAAGCATTCATCTTTTCTTGTCCAAAGAAAAGAGGAGTGAAGATAATAGAAGAATGAAAATAATTAGTGCAAATGACTAATCTACAATGCTGAGAACAGAAGAAATACATGGTGTTTGGCTACCACTACCAACTCTGAAACAGATCACATTAGAAGGTCCTGGATAGAGTGTTTAATAAAGGTTTCTATTATGTTTTAGCAATGATTTTTAATGTTTCCCATTTCCTGCCCTCCTCCTTTTCTAAGCCTTCTGAATTTTGTCCTTCAGAAAATGTTGCTCTTTGGATCCCAAATAGTTGATTATTCTAAGGTATATATACCTCCCTAGGTTAATTTTCCATTTATTGACCTGTCTGTTGTTTGACTGAAAATTGAACCAGAGGTGAGTTCATTTCCAAGCCTGAAGCGTGAAAAAGGGCCTTGTCCCAGGGACTATATACATGGGTATACTCTACCTTACCCTCCCACACCTGTTCAGCCTGCATTTCTTATATTAGCCTGGGTTGTATAGAGAAACAAAACCAGTGACACGCATATATATTTAACAAAGAATTTTATATCTAGAAGTAATCTCAAATCAAAAAGGCATTGCAACCCAGTCCAACTCAAGTCTATAAGTCTGATGCTAGCCGGAGCCCCCTTTTCCCCTCCTTTTTATGTTTTAAATTTTATTTTCTATATTTCTTTTCTTGTGCTACCTAATAGCAGACAGCAACATTTCCACAATGACCAGCTACATCCATACACCCAGTAGCCACAGCTATTAGGCAAGAGCCACTACCCACTCATGTACTATCTGATTATTGATAAATATCTGGAAATAACAGCTTGACCGCCCTCATCTGTGTTATTGAACAGCACAAAGAACTGTGTCAGTTCTTTGTACAAAAAAAGTGATGAGTGACTGAGGTCTCACCAACATACAAATACAACATCAGTTAAATACAAACACAAAGACACCATAATGTACAAGAGACAAGAGCTAAATGCTTTCACATAAAGAAATAAGATAGTATGGCTTAAACAAGTGACCAATATACAGAGTCAGAACCGTTCTCAGGGGCTAGGGGGAAGGAGAATTGGAACTACCTGATAAGAAATTCAAGGGAATGTTATTTAGATCAATAAAATCCAACCAAAAATAGAAAGTTTTGGAAGAATTCAAGGGAATTTGGGATAAAAAGAAATGGCATTCAAATCAAGAAAAATACAAAGTTCTAGGAGAATTCAGGAAAACTCAAGAACAAACCGAAAAATTAAAAATAACAAAAACAGCGAAAAAAACCCAAAATAATAACAGTAACAAGAACTCCAAAACATTAACAATGAGATTTCAGATATAGGTAGTGCACTGCAAAACAAAAGGAGTAGAACTGAATCAACGGCAGGTTGAATTAGTGAGCTTGAAGACAAATATCTGAATACCAATATGTTAGAGGAAAACTTTTTAAAAAGAAAAACAAAATTATGTGATACATCATCAAGAGAAATAACTTACATGTGATCAGAATTACACATAGAACTGTAGGAAACAAGAAAAAGCAAAGTGAAACTTGTTGAAGAGTTGTTAAAGAAAACCATCATGAAATACAAGAAGATATGCATTCAGAAAGCTGAGCAAAACCCTAATCAATTGAACTCCAAAAGAAAATCATCATGACATATCATAATCAAACTTTCCAAACCAAAGAGAAGGCAAGAGTAGATTGAGACAAAGCTAACTACAAAGGGGAACCAATAAAATTAAAATCCTATTTCTCAGCAGAAACCATGCAGGCAAAAAAGCAATGAGTCACATATACATATGTATATGTATATATGTGTACACACACACACACACACACACACACACACACACACACACACACAAAGACTGTCCTTCAAAAACTTTGGTAAAAATTAGGACATTTCCAGACAAACCGAAATTGAAAGAATTTGTAAAAATGAAAACACAGACCAAACTTACAAAAAGCTTAATTAACCCCAAACAGGACAGACCCTAAAAGAAACTCATCACAACATTTTTCGTGCCAATATGGTGACGAATACTGATGGTCTTTCATATGCTGAACCATCCCTGCATCCCTGATATGAATCCCACTTGGTCATGGTAAATTATTTTTTAAATATGCTTTTGTATTCTATTGTCCAGTACAGTATTTTGTTAATGCGTTTTGCATAGATGTTCATTAGGAATATTGGTCTGTAGTTCTCAGTTCTTGTGGGATCTTTGCCTGCTTTACGTATCAGAGTTATACTAGCTTCATAGAAAGATTTTGGGAGTTTGCATCTTTTTCTATGTTCTGGAAGAGTTTGTGTAGGATTGGTGTCAGTTCTTCCCTGAATGCTTGGTAGAAATCCCGGGGGATTTTTTTGTTGGTAATCCCTTAATAACCTTGTCTATTTCTTCCATTGCTATGGATCTGTTGAGGTTTTTGACATCGATTGGGATAGTCTAGGGAGGGATTGTGTTTGCAAATATTTGTCCAAGTCTTCCAAGTTGTTGAATTTGTGTAAGCCTTCATAGTACTGTGTAATTATCCTTTTGATTTCATTAGGGTCCGTTGTAATGTCCACTGTTTCAGCCCTCATCCTTGCAATTGACGTTTGTTCCTGCCTTTCTTTGGTTAGGTTTGCCAGTGGTTTATCAATTCTGTTAATTCTTTCAAAGAACCAATTTTTAGCTATGTTAATTTTTTCCCATAGTTTTCTTGTTTTCCCTCTCTGGTATCTCAGCTCTGATTTTTCTTATTTCTACCCTCTTCCTATTAGTAGAATTATTCTGTTGACTCTGCTCTAATTGGTGTAAGTTTT